TTATAACCAACTGGACCACGCAGCGGATTTTGAGATCGGAGAATGTTTTGCATGTTTTGCTTGAAGAACTACGATGAATTGATTGAAAATTGAATGGCAATAAATTCATTAATAATAAATTATAAGTAATAAATAAATAATAAGTTGATTAACTGACTGACCGCTGCTGTGCTGATACACTAAACTTAATCCAGCACATACAATCATAAGCATAACCTCTTAAATGGTTTATGTCTTGTCAACAAACACGCACTGACGTCTGTGCACACATGAAACTAGCTCAACCATTTACTCCAATATGTATATTAAAAGACTTTACACAAACTATACCGACTGTTGTATGGAGGAGGTCAGGTTTCAGTTCAACGAAGCCCCGCGTAGCGCCGTTGATTCGGCCATTGTCATTGAAAGCGGCCGTGTGTTAATCGACAAGCGAGCCCTTTGTGCGCTATCAGAGAGGCCAGACGGAGGAGAGGAGAGGAGGCCGTCGGATGCCACACATTACCATGCGCGTTTTGTGTAATGCAGATGTGGGAAGACGTTCTGCATACCCCGGGAAGTGAAGGAGAGCAAATAAATGACAATTGCGCCGGCCAGACGACATGAATACAATGTCATTCGAAGCGCACTCTAATCCCTCCTTCCTGTAGAAAACCGCTCTCTCTGCTTTGTGTTCAGTGAACCAAGAGTAAGAAGGCCGACCAGTCTCCTCTTCCAACGAGGTAAATATAGCTTTCTTTGTTCAATCGACAATCCTAAAATATTCTGTCCACTTTCAGTCATCCTCATTTCAGAAGCGATTGACTAATCGATGGACAGTTTTGTCTCTGGTGAAGCAGCAAACACAATAGTTAGTGCAGCATTTTCAGAGAACACACAAGTCTTGATCAGACTCATTTCAGATCCACACATCTGGTTAGATTTGGGCGTCTAATGGTGTTCGTGCCGGGATGGAGGAGTGCACTGCCACACACGTGGAGGGCCCGTGACCGGACATCCACTCCAAAAGGGAAACCATGTAACTGTAATCTGTAATCAGATGGATCAGCTGATCTTACTGCCCTTTACTCTGCTGCATGGCTTTCACACCCGATTCAGAGACACAGGTGCAGGGGGTTGGCTCGCCACTTCAGTGCGTCTTTGGAACGTGGTCACGTGCGACAGGGAGCGAGGATCAATGTGCTGCATGTGCTGACTGAACCCAGGTCCCAGACGGTTTAGTTATCTCTATGGCGACTGTAAAACTTCAAGCGGTTTCTCTTCTGGGGAAAAAGGAAAGCGAAGCAATTGCCTGAACCGTGTGTGTGTGTGTGTCTGTTCCCGAAAGCTGCTGTTCTACTGTAAAAGTATTGCGCAATTTGTTTTTGCTCTAAGCTGACGTCATGCTCCTCTGCATATGGACTAAAAACATCCCGGACTCCGACCCTGGGGATGAATGACTCAAACACACCGAATGAGCGTATTCAGTAAACCCTTAACGCTTAAACGGACGAATGCTGCATTGAAACATAATTACCGCGATTTTTTTCATCCACTCAACAATGTACAACGAAGGATGTTGTAAAAAGTGTTTTTCTAATCCCCCCTCGGGCGAAGCAGTTTAAAAGTCAAACCTGTTTTTAGATCAGCTGATACAGCGCTGATATTGTGAGGGTTAGCGGTGCTTTGTGGAAACTATCGGCCCGGTCGGAATGCATCCTCGACCAATCAGAGCGCGGCCGAGGCTCCCCCCCCTCCCTCTGTAAAATAATCAATCTGGATCATCAAAGCTGTCTGCAGCCTATCACATGCTGCCAGACCCTATAAAACGTTGCATGCACGCAATAATAAACTTTGATCGAACCCCCCTCCCCCTCCCCGTTTAAACAAAAGACTAACTCCGTACGGAAAAAGGACTCTGCTGCGTTTCCTCTGAAGCCGGGCACAAGCCGCTGCCAGGCCGTGAATCCGGTCGCTGGGCAAACATCTAAAACTCCTTCGAGCAGAGGCCTTGATTCCATAAAAAGCAGGCACGCATGTTTTTTGGGAGGGGAGGGGGGGGGGTTTATGGCGAGGGCTAAAGCTGCTGCCATGGAAACTCAAAGGCCGCAGTCGGTGCCCACATGTCCAAATAGAGCTTTTGTCCTGCAAATAGCTTTCATAAAATATGGGCTTGGCACCAAACACGGATCGCAGGGTTTCCGCTGTCGAGTCCGACAAAAGGTATCCAATAGAGTGAGTCTCTTATGAGGGTCCGAGATGATGTACGAGTCATCCGTAGAGCTTCAGGAAGTCACAGAAATGGGAAACGCAGTGCTGCAATTCATCATCATTTTCATTTTCAGAATATTTTATGGGTCAGCTAACTATTTTATTGTGCGATAAATATCAGAAATTAGTGCAAATGCCCACGTTGACATCCAAAAAACTCCAAAGATGTTGCAAGAATGATGCTACTCTATTTATATACATTTATTCTTGGTCAAAAATGCAAGAAATTGATGATCTTTAAGAAGCTGGAGGCAGTGAAGTTTTGCCTCTACGAACATGTTTTAAAGTGGCAATAGAATTTTCTTTAACTTGTGTGTGAGTTTATACTTGGTGGCTGCAGCGCAATAACACCATCAGCCTTTAGATTGGTTCCCTTTAGCCTCCTTTGCCCTTTACAATTCTGTTGCTATCAGCACAAAGGAAGAAGATAGAGCTCACGCCTGTGATTAAAAAAGCAATAAAATAACAACACAGACTCTGCAGTCTGAACCGAGACAGCGAACTCTTTGTGGCCTCCCACTCTGTTAACGGCGGCACAGAACAGCTACAAAGCCACCGGTCGCCACTTTGGAACCAAAAACAACAACTTTCCTTTGAATGTGTATTTGTGTCTGATGGGATTTTTCCACAAACTTCAAGTGCCGTAAACTACTACTCGTCCTTCATTGAAAAATCCCAAAGACATAAAAAAAAATAAAAAAATAAAAAAATCGAACTGCTGGATGCAGCATGTCTCCTCCATCCCTGACATGTGCATTCTCAGTGTGTGTGTGTGTGTGTGTGTGTGTGTTCCTCAAGTTTCCACATCACACATCTGGTTTCGTGCTGGTTGTGAGTCTGAATGTGGGAAAGCTCCTTCAGCATGAAAGTCAGACCATTTTTGCAGAAAGATGTGTTCAAGTGAAACCACAATAAGCAAACGTGTTTTTAAACAGGGAGGGAGTTACATTTTTGACCAAGTGTCCATTAACTGATTGATAAATCAGTTTTATCTCTAAAGAGATTTCCCTTGCAACTGCAGAGAGGAATCGTGCAGAAAGCACCACGACAGTCAGGAAGTCGATGTCTTGACTGCCCCCCTGAGGACTACGCTCATCACTGACGCCCCCCCGTTCCGTCACCAGAAGAGACGGGCTTTACCTGCAGCGCCGGTACACTGCCGTCCTTTGGCAATGAATGGAAATGACAAAGACGGAACCAACAAAATCCAAACCATTCCAGATAACAGATGACTAAAACTCTCCTTTCCTCAGCCCCTCCTCCCCCAGTGTGAATGTCTCTCTGCCTGGTGACTAACTGGCCTCTGACGGTCTCCCTGCACAGAGCAATGATGACATGGAGTCGGTCTACAGTGTGGACACGTACGCACGGTCGAACCCACCTGTGAGTGGGCTTAGAGTCACCTTAAGGGTGTGAGACAACTGACGACTTACACAATACACCATCACTTGCACGCCGTTGTTAAAACAAAGTCTTGTTTTAAGTGTCAACACCAGCATAAAGACGCTTGATCGATCTACGTCACGTCCTCTTGCATCATAAATATGCTTCGTGCTGCAATATTTGCATCTGTACTGCCGTGGTGTGCATGTAGTAGTGATCACATGTGCACAATTCAGGTCCACATTTTGTTATTTGCATTGTTCGATACTCCTCTTAACAGCAACTCTACAAATAATACTTTAGCAAACGTAAGTCAGCTTAAAAAAATTGAGCAGCAGGTTTATTTTGCAGTGTTTCCCCACTTGTTGTCCCAGCAGCATGCAGACCTTTAATGCAGGGAGCCATCACAGTGGAGATCAACAACAAAAATCAATCAATGTAAACTTGTAAGCCACAGCTAAAAAACTAACTTTTGAAATCAAGGGCTCCAAATTGGGCCACAACATGAGCCTGGTGACTGTCTGCCCCGTTTCCATGCTACATGTTTAGCAGCGTAGCCGACCCGGATCTCGCAGGCCTCAGTCAGCCTCCGAGCGTTACTCATCGGTAACAGTGCTGAAGTGGCACAGTGTTCCTGAAACAACCCATCAGCATATGAGAATAAAAGGAGGGCTCTGCAAATTATCTTTGACCAAAGAACTCACAATTGATATTGCAACGTAGCGATGTAGATGTTCGATAAATAATCACTGTTACTGTGGATATGCTGACCAATGCTGACCAATAATAAAATATAATCAACTGTCTGTTTTGTCATATTATGATATCCAAACTCTTTCTAGAACGATTTCTAGAACATATAATATATATATATATATATATATATATATATATATGGCCCAGACGAAACTCAAGGGTTCGTTAAGAAGAAATGAGTAGGCAGGCACGGTGCACACGCGAGTGTGCACACGCGAGTGTGCACACAGACACACACAGCTCGCAAAAAACAGGCAGAAATCCAAAAATACATTCGCAGGGTTCTGCTGGGCAGATGAAGGTAGTAACACAATGCGATGAGATAATGGTGGGACAACCATGAGATACTGGCCCAAAGCATCATGGGACCGAAGGATGTGAGGGGAGAGGATGTGAAGTTAAGGAAAAAGGGAACGGGTGTGGCCCAGAAGAACTAGGTGTGCGTGTGTGTGTGTGTGTGTGTGTGTGTGTGTGTGTGTGTGTGTGTGTGTGTGTGTGTGTGTTTAGAGTGCCGATGTATTTTGGTTTGATTGAGCCCAGGAGTCACTCATGAGCTTTATGCATCACATAAAACACATCATTACCATTCTGGTCGGCCAGTTGCAACTCACCAACAGATCCACGGCCTCTCGGCGTCCCAGAGATCCATGCTCCGCCCGCTCGCCGCCTGGCGTCAGGATGTAGGGGCTCTGACCTCCAGACGGCTTCATGTTGGGAAGACTAAGCGAGCGCAAGTCCTTCACACCCTGCTCCACCTTCAGCTCATCGCCGAGCCGTGCTAGAATACACCACACATAAGGAAATTTAGCATTGTAGGAAGAGAACCAGCAAGACTTTTTTTTATTTAGGATCAGTTTTTCGACCTTGGGCCTCGACACCAAAATAATTGGGCTTTGCGTTTTTTGCCTGAGTAAAATCCTCAAGCAGTTGGTCATAAACAACGTAGATGGGGTAATAACAACCAACAGAAGTCCACTTAAACCTGTAAAATAATGGGAAGGGGGGGGGCTGTGGCCACCTGAGGGCGGTAGAAACAAAAAAAAGCAACAACCTGTTATTGAACGGTTGACTACCCCCCCCTGCAAATTTAGAGCAACATTATTATTCATTCTGAGCTTTGTTTCCAGTAGAAATTCTTTTTTTGGCCCCTACCGACCCCTGAGGGAAATATCTTACATTTCTTATTGCACCACTGTGTTCATAGATAGAAATACAACTTGCAGAGAATGGTGCATTTTGTAGTATCCTTGTCTCATAAAAAATAAGTGGACAAAAAAATGTGACGATAAGCTGCAACGCAATCAATCGCATCCTGCAGCCGAGGGGAGCTGCCGAGTCAGGTGAGGATTCGCTGTTGCATCATCACAACGAGCAGCGTTTTTAAATCACAAGTACTTATGTGGTCGTCGGTTAAAGACACTGACGATATCTGCTTTAGGTTTGTTACAGCAAAGTGAAGAAGATGAGCGCCTCAGCCGTCGAACCAACCGAAAGCCTCTTAACCGTGAGCCTGAACAGCTGTGGGCCTCCAGATCGCAGAGCAGAGGCCCCGCTCCCAGTTTGCACAGGGGCCTCATGGGAAAGAAAGTCATCATGCTGATAGGAAGTTAACGACATTAGATTCCTGGGAATCCTCATCACCCTTGTGGAAAAGGACTGAGCACATGTTTTTCCTGGTAGCTCTGATAACTTCTGAGGATACAGTCCACTCCTTTTCCCTGGTCGTCAGAAACAAGGGCGGGAGAGGAAACCAGCGCAGTCATTGTTAAAAGGCACACGGATAAGAATGGCATGACGCCTAAAATACACCAAAGAACCCGACCAAAAGGCTACCTGCCTCCTATGAACCAAAGTGAAACATCCGCACTTTCTGTTGCTGCTAAGGTCCAGTATTTGTCAGCGTGCGGTGACTTCTCACCTTTGACTTTGAGGTAGTGTCCTCCGAAACGGTAGGCCTCAAAGTTGAGCGACAGCGGCGTGTTGGACTGATCCAGGAACAGGTCGACCCGGGACAGCTCGATGCCATTCCTCTCAAACACCGGCCCCAGAACCTCGCTGTTAGCACGTGGAGAGAAGAAGGCTTTCGGTCACGGCTCCTGTCAAAACCAAAGTACATTCCGTGCGGCCGCTCCTCTCACCTCAGAGTCTTCTTCTTCATTGCAGGTACGATTTCTGTGTTTATGTCCACGTTGAGATCGAACTTGAGGCTGAAGCACTCCTTGCTGGGGTCCTGCAGCAGGAGCAGAAGCAGCGTTAGATCACAGGGGGGGGGGCTCCTTCTCACTGCGCTGCTCGGGGCTCAGAGCGGCGCGGGAGGCATCGGCATTTCAGAGGACAACGGTGGCTGCTGCAGCATTTATGAAAAGCCTCAAAATAACTGTCACTTGGTACTTGTGTGTGTGTGCGCGAGTACTCACGTCAGTGTGCCGTCTCCGTGTCTTCTTCTTCGCCATCTTCAAGCCCCCCGCTTTGCGCTCCCTGCAAAAAAACGGTGACACGCACATTATCGCACAGCGACACGTGACAACTTGCATGAAGTGGCCATCAGGACGTGCAACTGTCAGCAGACGCACATTTCACGGCTGTGATTTATCCTCCGGGGAGAAAAAAAGATGCAGGAATACACAAGCACGAGCTCGGGGCAAATGGAAAGGTTACCGACCCGCGGTCACTGCTCCCTTCGTCCTCTTCCTCCAGGTCGGAGGGGGGGCTGGTGCGCGGGGGACAGGAGCGCGTGGACACGTTCCGAGCCAGGATGGAGGCTGAAATGTTTAAGAAGAAGGGGGGGGACAGCAGTTTGTTGTGTTGGATTACAAGTACGGCCACTTTTAATATCAGGCTTTAAAAAGGGCTGCAGCGGCAATGTTCCCTCTTCTGGTTGATGAAGGGGATTTGTCCACGGCCAATAAATAATCCTTTTCAATATAAAATCATCCAGTTATAATTATCTGTACGTTTAAAAAGTTTATATTTTACCGTATAGTGATTGAAAATACAGGCAAAAACACAATAAAGGACTTGGCTGAACTTGTAGCCTCACGGAGTCTTTGCTCTGGATAGTTTTCATGTGGAAAATGTTTGTCATTTAGATTCATATCGAATCAGTTTGAAAATGTTTACACCGGCTAGCAAATAAACAAATCCTAAAAGTTCAAACTCCAGGGGAACATGTGGGAAAGGAAAAGAAGTATATTACACGCTCTGCAATGGTTAGACGGAAAAACTCTTGTGTATAAAATAAAGAACAAATAAAGAAACAACAAAAGTCTACCTTGAGGTTGCAAGTCAAATCGGGGGTGCCGGTCAAAGTGCATGTTGTCAGTGTTCTCTGAATGGCTGCGCGAGTCACATGACTCACACAGGTGAAGGGGGCTTTTGTTATTCAGGTCTTGGCAGTCTGGGTGGTGGCAAACCTAAAAGCGACAAAGGGGGAAAAAAGGGACAAGAGAAAGTCAGATCACATTAACTAGCACACGGGGTCCCTGCATTAAAATACATAAATGTTTTAAAAGACTTGGAAACTGGTAAAAACAAACCGCACAAATTAAGAATAAACATCTCCCTGCCTGACTCTCGTTTTTGCCACAATGAAATGGAGCACGGCGGCTGCCAGGCGCATTCCTGAGGCTTGGTGACACCCGGCTTCCCACCATCATTCCGCCTCTGTGGGATGACTACCAAGCCCGTCACCTTGTGCGCTGATCTGGGACCAGCTTATCCTTACGTAAACCCGAACTGTGCACCGAAACGCTAAAACCGACCGCAGGTCACTCGCTGGCAGACTTCCAGGGCGCAGGGCTCGAAAAGCCCTGAAGCCCGAGACGGAGGGCAGCAGAAGGCTGCAGGATTAGGGATCTCGCCACCTCGGCCCAGACAGGTCCGACAAGCCTCCCACCCCTCCACCCCCGCCCCCCCACTGGGCTCTCTTGCGCCCCATCACTCGGCCCTGTGTAACCCGTCGGCGTCGGCCCCCGCTCGGCCGCTCAGGAAGCGAGGATGTGTGGGGAGGCGCAATGGAGGTCCCACTAATGTACTTCCTGTCATTGTTGCCGCAAAAGAGAGAGAAGCAGTGCGTTCGTGCATGCGCGTGTAAATCTGTGCATGAAGGGCGCAGGCAAAGCGGGCGGGGGGGTGAGGGGGGTTTCAGCTTTCAAAGCCAACAAAACAACTATTAATATGCAAGAGGTGGACGCTATTCAATGACCAAAAAAGCCCGTTACAAAAGCCCGTCTGAAGTAACAACATTAACTACACAACACAATGCAAGTTTGAATACAATCGACTCCCTCTGGTCCCACTCCTGGTACTCTACCGTCATGTTCTGCAGATTGGAGCAGGAGTCCCCCCCACTGCTGCCATTTGGCTCCATATCCACGCCAGGAGGCACCCGGGACCCAAATGAACATCCAAGTGTGCGACCCGCTGGCCTGCCGCCTCACACTGCGGCGTGCGCCCAGTCAAGCGCCGAGCTGCCTTATTAATCCACTCCTCTCAATGTCTAGCCAGGTATAATCTCAGAGTTTAAAAAGGAGCAGGTCGCAGGGCAGGGAGGAGGACAGAAGGAGTGGGGGGCAGGGGAGGAGGGATAAGGTTATGGGAGGGTGAGAAGTCACAGGAAAGATATAAACACAAGGCAGGAAGGGGGGGGGAGGGAAAGGAGGTCCATCCAGAACGTTTTCAGAGGACTAAAGCACCCTGAAGCACCCGTAGTGTTGCGTCCTCATTGGTGCCTGTGCTCTGTCAAAACCATCTGACTGCTCCTGCAGAGATTTAACAGCTCTGCTGTGAGCCAGGGTCTTCTCCTCTCTTTGCCCCATCTCTCCCTTCATTCTCCTCCACCAGCAGAACAAACTCCTCCCTTCATGGCATGCACCCAGAGTGACACACACACACACACACACACACACACACACACACACACACACACACACACACACACACACACACACACACACACACACACACACACACACACACACACACACACACACACACACCAGAGGTTTAAAATAGAAAAGACTGCGAGGGAAGAGTCAGAGGCCCAGAGGTCAGAGGTCGACCCTGGGGGACACGACTACAACCAGGGACCCTTCCTCTGCATCGCAACTAATGTTTTCCAGCTTATTGCTTGAATTTGCTAGAAATTTTGCCTTCTTAAGTTTCCTCCAGAAATAAAGCGGCCTATGAGCTTTTTTTTTTTTTTTAACTTCACCAGAGTGGAAACCTCACATCAGAGTTTAATCATCCTAAGAGGATGTTGAAAGGAGATCAGCATTAATGCGTTCACGGATGTCTGATAACGCTTCATTGTGAACAACAGCTTCTCTGTGGCGGTTACATTCCGTTATAAAGGGTTACGGCTTTCAATAAACATTAGTATCGGGGGGAAAAAGCTAAATTATTACCTTGTTGTGATGTGTTTAAATGAAATTTCATTAATTCAGAGGGAGAATTAGGAACTAAAACTAATCAAAGATAAATCTAGCACTGACTTCCGAGTGGCCTTAGTGGATGTGTTGGCTCTGTGCGGTGAGGCTCCACAGTGTCTGCGATGTGCCAGTCTCTAAAAGGCCCCTCATCAGAATGCGCCACGTGGCGGTATAGTCCTTTAGCGGACCTCTTAGGCACGGGGGAGGTGGTGGGGGCACTGTGGCTGGCGGGCGATGCCATCAGTTCTGTTCTCAGTAGGCGAGCGGTGATGACGCTCTCGTCTGTTGCCTGCAGACGGACGGCCCTTTTGGCAAAGTGGCGGGATGCCACTCTGAAGTCGACGCCAACGCACAGCGGGGGCCAGAAAGCTGCTGAAAACATCTGTCGCTTTAGACAATCGAGCGCGTCGTAGGTTAAAGAAAAAAAAAGACTTAAAACTAAATTTCCAAAGACACATGCTTGTGATGTTCATGACACATACTTATAGTTAAGATGTGCCCCCCAAAATAACGGCGTTACAGCTCCAGATATGTGCGACATGGATCCCTGCAACACTCTCAGCAACGCAAAGTTATGATTGATACTTGGGTAAGAGGACGACCCCACTTTCATTTTCTGGACCTGGAGTCAGTTGTTCTCGCGTCACATCAAAGAGGAGCAGTGTGTGAGCAAAGCGCACCGTACAGAGAATGTGACCATGCAGGACAGCTGACGAGAGGCCATGAACCTCCTGCCCTGAGTGTATGTGAGAGAAATGTGTCATGTGAGTCGCGTGTGTGTGTCCCCCCCCCCCTCCACCACCTCCTCCTCCTCCTACATGACTGCTCTCAGATCTGGATGGATTAGAGGGGAGGTTTAGTGGGGAGCATGAGTGACTGTAGATGAAACACACACGTGCACGCGCACACACACAAACACACACACACACACACACAGACACACACACACACACACACACACACACACACACGTTTTGGATTATCTCATCCAGCGCCACCTCGCTTTTGGCCACTGCTTTACGAACACGCACACACTCTCCCCAAAACACACACACACACACACACGCGCACATTTCAGAGTGCGTGCGCCATCCGTGAACCGCACGCCAGTCGCTGGGCTGCACTAAAGCCGTTCTCGTTTGGAAGTAGATGACTGGAGTCTTCTGAGGTGAATCAGGATTATTACCGTAACAGTTAATCCTTCCAACGCTGGCACGCAACACCATTCACAACACTTGCTGCAACACCGACGACTGGGAAACAGTTGGACTAACTTCAGGTTCAAATGTCTTACGCATGATGCATCATTACGGATGGAACGTGTGGGTCTACATCAACTGCCCCGCGGGCCCGTTTTGGCTGCAGCACCCTGAGACCCCGTCACGGCATTTAATATGTTTGGACGGCTCGCCAAACCCTCGCTGTCGGTTCTAATGGAATATATATATATATTCAGAATCTGCTCAGTAATGATCCCCCCCGAGTAACAGATGGAAGCTCCCGCCGCTGTGCAGCCTGGCGGTGCACCGAGCTCTCTCCTCCTGCACAGCGTGTGCTGCCAGAGCACACCTCGCACTTATGTACCGGCGTGCATCGGCATGTGCATGCGAGCCTTTAAAGAGCGGAAGGAGGCTACGTGAGCCGCGGTTTGTCTCCCACGTCAAGTGTTGTAGTTAACTTCAACTCCCCAACAAAAAAAAAAAAAAAGGTCAGGCAAGAGATGCCGTTTGTTGGCCGACGGGCTAAAAGCATAAAAGCACTACAGGCTTCAGTGACAAGCCGAAAACGAGAGCATGCGGAATACTGATTAAATGTATCAGGACACATTGGACATAACAGCTGTATCTTAGCTTAATTTGTTTTAAATACTAGGGACGCTATGATTCTCCTGATATTGACTCGCTGCATCCAGCTAGATTATTTTTGTGGGGGAGAGGAAGCACAGTTTGTTTTAATGAACTACAAAAAACAAACAGTGCACTCACGGGCGGAGGTTTCTTTTCTCTCACAAACTTGAGTTTGCGTCTTCTGATGCTTAGGAGACCGTCCCGGATTGTTCCCTGAGAAAAGCTCACGAAATAGAACGAGTTTATGCTTTTTTGGAAGAAGAACTGTGCTCGATACGCTTCAAAGAGCCGCTCACAGAGTTCACATTCTAAATCAACCTTTGAATGCGGCACAGCTCCTGTTTTTTTCCATTTATTGTGTTTGAAGCACTTTTTTCTGCATGCTTGCAGATTAGTACAAGAGCGAAACAGAAAAGCATGAGAAAAAAACAGGGTACGTTCCTTTTCCTGATGTTGTCAGACAGAATTATATCTATAGAGGTTATTTAAACGAGTACATTGCAGCGTGTTTGGCATAAAGAAAACTCAACTCTGTCAAAACCGCTGGATGAAACACAGAAAAAACACAACATCTAAGCAAATCTGAGCCAACATAAAGCACAACAGTGTAATTAACACCTCATATTGGGAACAAATGGAAAACAGAAAGATCAGTTTTTGTGGGGAGTGAGGGCGACATCCGGGTTTAAATACCCGGGCCAACTTCAACGGGCACCATCATCACTCCGCACCCAGATAGTCTGCTTTAAAAAAAAAGAAAAAGGTCCTGTCCCGACACGAAAGCCATCACTGATTTGGCAACTGGTTGAAATTCTCCAGAGCCGCGAGATACGCCGCTCCTCATCAGTCGCGAGGCGCAGGAGGAGGAAGAGGATTTGGTTACGGGGAGTTAAGGCTTTTTTAAAAAAAAATTCTTTCGAAATTTACAGATGAGCACATCAACAACGCCTCCCCAACGATCACACCTACGGCCGCAAACGATTGGTTAACGTCAGCCGAGGCAGAGTCGTGCACGGGCTTGTCCAAATAGCCTGAATGCAGCCAAGTCAGCCTAAACATCCAGACAGACTTTGGTCGGACCGGCTCACACCAGCCTACAAGTTATCAAAGAAAAGCCAAAAGTCAGACGCGAGTACA